AAAAAAAAAAAAAAAAAAATAGGTGACTTTTATGACCTTTAGTCATAAAAAATTAAACAAGTCAGCTCCCCATCCAAGTACAGGTCCTTCTCAATTTAGACCTTTTACTGACATATGTGCTCTTCTGTTTGGGACAATCTGGTCTGTAACTTAGCACAAATGCCACTGTAGGCAGAAAGGGCAGTGAGCAATTCTAGATGGTCACCAAGGTGTGACAGGGAACATTCCCTTCCTACCCACTGCTTTCCACCGTCTCTCAAGTGACATTTGCGATATTCCTACTCATCAAACAGAAATTTTGATTTATATTAACTCTGTGTAATTTGGTTTTATATTGTTCCAGGAAAGCATCCTTTCAGTAATCTAATTCATTTTTTCTAGAGGCTCTGGTGCCAATAAATAATTTACAAAAGATTTCACTGGAATCATTTTTAAACTCCAGAATCCCACAGGAGTGGGGGTACTGGGCTAGTTTCATGGCCCTACTATCTGTTGGTCTCTTTCCTACCACACAGGATGGTAACTCCTTCAGTCAACAAGATGGAGCTGAAATGAACTTCAAAGTTTGTAGTTAGCTGACTACTGCAACCGTGGGTAGAGTTGTGACTGTTTCTGGAACTTAATTTCTGACACTGTGCTCTCTTTTTAACCAGGTTATTGGGGCAGTGGGGGGTGGTCAACAATGTCCATCATTCCTGATGTTCATTTCCCTTAACCCAGGTGATACCACAGTTTGGGGATCTTAGGTAGTGCCCAGACATGGGTGTAAATGGGAGTGGAGTAAGGTATCTGCCTCTAGTTCTTTAATTTTTTTTATTATTTATTTTTATTATTTTTTTTAAAGATGGGGTTTCACGATGTTGGCCAGGGTGGTCTTGAACTCCTGACCTCAGATGATCTGCCCGCCTTGGCCTCCCAAAGTGCTGGGATTACAGGTGTGAGCCACCGCGCCCGGCCGCCTCTAGTTCTTTAGATCCTGGCAGTTTGTGCTGAGCCCTCTGCCCACATGGGTCCTTTCCAGTGCTGTGGTCCTCTCCAAAGTCTCTGCCACACTTGGGGCACAGAATTTTTCCCGAAGTCCCAATAGATATTGGGCCACCTACCTAGACATTCCACACAGCCCTTCCACTCTTGAGTCTTCCCAGTAACCAGGTGTTGCTCCTGGGAAGCTGAGCCTAATCAATGCTGCTCGAGCTACCACAGAGATGTCTCTGCTCTTATTGTCTCTTCCTCCCAAGAAGAGGGGAGTGAGGAAAAGAAGAATCATTTTTTAGGTTTGTGCAACTCTTTCTTTCTTCTAGTTTTCTGGATACTTGGTCTCTGCCACTACACCCTAATACCCCTTCCTTAAGGACTTATGTTTTGGGAACACAGAAACCAGAAACAGTGCCAGAGTATTTGTTTTCCTGCCTTGCCACCTCCCTCCCTTGAGATACACCACAAAGCTGCGTTATTTTGGGGGCAGGGGCAGACAGAGAAAAAGAAAAATACAGGAAAGAAAAAAAATCCATCTATATTCTCTAAATAATATTGAGCCACATTCTCCCGCTATTAAATCTTAGCATCCCAGCAAGGGAAAGTGTACTTCTCATCCAGGAGCCTCTGTTCAAGGCAATAACTCCCAGGGCTTGGATGTCTGGGTGAACTTTTCTCCAGGCAAGTCTTGGCACTAGGGGAATTTCTCACCAGGATCATCTAAGGGTTATTAAAGCCCTCCCAGAAGATTATCTTCCCTCCCAGCACAACTTGAGTATCCCTTGAGTAAAGGCATACTCAGAAGTCAACAGCTCTCTTTGGCTTAGCGACTGACTTAGAAACACTCCACATTTCCAGCTGGATAATGCAATTTCTCCAGCCTTGCTATGGATCTACTCAGTTCTTCCTAAACACAGTCTTTCCACATGTGCCCAGGGATATATCAAGGGACAATTTTTTTTTTTTTTTTTTGAGACAGAGTCTCGCTCTGTTGCCCAGGCTGGG